ACGTACAAATCTGTGCTAATATTTTTGTGACTATCAAGGAAAGAGAAAAGTAAACAGTCAAAGAAGATTGTAAATTCCTTCAAAGTTTTTTTAAGGAAGTGCTGTAAATGTTTCAAAACCATCTGTCTGTAATCTGATAAACCTTTATTGAAATGTTGTTTCTATATCAATTGCATGTTTTTCTTTTATTTCGTAGCTGTGTAAGTACTTTGGGAATTTTATTTTTTACATTTTTTAAACACAATATGCAACGTTTCGTGACAACTCTCCTCTTAATAACGGAGATGGAAGGGGACAGGGAAGAGGTGGGTTTAACATGCTAGAGTTTCCGTACGTATACACTAGTTGTAGAATAAACTTTCTATTCTACCTGAATTATGTGTTTTCGTGCGCATAAATTTGTCATTAATTGGCTACGTGTTATTAGAAACGTTCCATTTAGTAAATCCAAGGTTGGTCAACTACCTACATTTCGTACAGGTAAACAAAACACTTTAAAATGCCAGTGACGTAATAAATAAATAGTATACAAATAAGAAAATAAAATAAATAAAACCATTGTGAATTAACGAAATGAGGAGAGGAAATGAATGAGCGAGAGGAAATGAATGAGCCAGAGAGAACTGAATGAGCGAGCCGCCAATGAATGAACGAGAGGGAATGGTTAGCGAGACGGAACTGAATGAGCGAGCGGCGAAGAATGAGCGAGAGGGAATAAATAATAGTACTTTCGTACAGTAAAACGAACACTTTCAATGCCAAGTGTACGTAATAAATAAATAGTTATACAAATAAGAAATATAACTAATAAAACCATAGTGAATTAAACGAGATTGAGGAGAGGTAAATGAATGAGCGAGAGGGAAATGAATGAGCAAGAGAACCTGAGATGACTGCGAGCGCCATGATGAAGAACGAGACGGGTGATTAAAGGCGAGACGAATGAATGAGCGAGCGCGAATGATACGATGAGCGCAGATGGAAAAATAAATAGTATTTCGTACAGCTAAAGAACACTTTCAAATGCCAGTGTACGTAATAATAAATAGTATAGCAAATAAGAAAATAAATAAATAAAACATAGTGAATTAAACGAATGAGCGAGAGAAAGAATGATGCGAGAGGAAACGAATACGAACGAGAGGAAAGACATGAACGAGAGGGAAAACGAACTGAACGAGAGGGAAGAGACATGAACGAGAGGGCAGATGAAACTCGGGAGGATAGAGGAGGAACGAATGACGAGCGGGAACGAATTCATTCCATCTCGCTACTTCATTCCCTGCTGCTTATTCATTCCTCCTCGCTCATTCAGTCCCTCTCACTAATTCATTCGCTCTCATTCATTTATTCGCTCTCGCTCATTGATTCGCTCTCGTTCATTCGTTCCCTCTCGTTCATTCGTTCCCTCTCGTTCATTCGTTCCCTCTCGTTCATTCGTTCCCTCTCGTTCATTCGTTTCCTCTCGTTCATTCGTTTCCTCTCGTTCATTCGTTTTCTCTCGCTCATTCATTTCCTCTCGCTCATTCGTTAATTCACTATGGTTTTATTTATTTATTTTCTTATTTGTATACTATTTATTTATTACGTACACTGGCATTTGAAAGTGTTCGTTTAGCTGTACGAAATACTATTTATTTATTCCTCTCGCTCATTCATTCGCGCTCGCTCATTCAGTTCGTCTCGCTTAATCATCCCTCTCGTTCATTCATTGGCGCTCGCTCATTCAGTTCCTCTTGCTCATTCATTTCCTCTCGCTCATTCATTTCCTCTCGCTCATTCGTTAATTCACTATGGTTTTATTTATTTATTTTCTTATTTGTATACTATTTATTTATTACGTACACTGGCATTTTAAAGTGTTTGTTTACCTGTACGAAATGTAGGTAGTTGACCAACCTGGATTATACTAAATGGAACGTTTCTAATAACACGTAGCAATAATGCACAAATTTATGGCACGAAAACACATAATTCAGGTAGATAGAAAGTTTATTCTACAACTAGTGTATACGTACGGAAACTCTAGCATGTTAAACCCAGCCTCTTCCCTGTCCTTCCATCTCCGTATTAAGAGGGAGAGTTGTCAACGAAACGTGCATATTTGTTTAAAAAATGTAAAAAATATAATTCCCAAAGTACTTACACACTACGAAATAAAAAGAAAAACCAATGCAATTGATATTAGAAACAACATTTCAATAAAGGTTTAGTCAGTATTACAGACAGATGGTTTTGAAACAATTTACAGCACTTCCTTAAAAAAACATTTGAAGTAATTATACAATCTTCCTTGACTGTTTACTTTTCTCTTTCCTTGATAGTCACAAAAATATTAGCACAGATTTGTACTGTTGAGAAAGCTACGTAAAGTTGTCAATGCGAATATACTGAATTGGGCAAGATCAACACTATTCTTTGCAATATTATTTAACTTCGTTACCGAACAGAGATGCACTCTTGAAATTTGGGTGCAAAAATATCAATTAGTTTAATTTCACGTACAGTTGCTGGTTTTCCACGTCTCTGAACAGGTAGGGTATAATCGAGACGTGCAGGACCAGCAAAAATGTAACAATGTCCAAGAATATCCCATCCTGTAGATTATGGCGCGAGAAAGTATCTTTCTGGTTTTTGACCTTAACATCCTAGGTATTACAGTCCTAGAACGCTCAGTTTAGAAGTTATTTAATTACGAATAGGTTTTAACAATGATAACAATTTTAACAATTCTGCTTTGGTGTTCTGGGTAGCATTTATCATGAATTCGTTGAAGTGCTTTTTCAACAAGTCCGTCATATTTTTAAAATCAAAGTACAATTCGTCACGTCTTAATGAAATTATTTATTTTGAGATCTCGATTATAAATATTGGTTGAGTGAGAGAGAGGAAAAACTCATTTATTGTTCTGAAATAACATAGAAGAGCATTGTGCTGATGTTTCTCGTTGGCCGAAAACAAAAATTTTAATATATATATATATATATATATATATTTATATATATATATATATATATTTATATAATATTAATATATTACAAATATTATATATAAGAAAAACATTCAACAAATTATCCTTCGTTCATACATTGCGCATGAAGATGACATTTACATGTTTAACACGTATAATCCCGTATACATGCTAACTGTACTACATAATATGCGTAAATACACACTTCAATATTCCCAGGAATACACACATGCCTACATACATTCATAGATGAGCATATTATACAAACAACCTCCTCCTCCCACTCCAAGAATTTTACCTAACACCACAGTATAACAATATACAAAATAATTATTTCAATAATATTATTTTATCTTACCTTTTACATTTTTTCACTTTTACTTACGAGTTTTAACCTTTTGATTATTTTTCTATAATTGTCCAAACACCCCTACTTTCAAACCTCAAGATTAACAAATTCATCAATTAACTATTTTTTTTTCGTTATCTGCTTTGGTATTATGAAAGCGGGTGAATGTGCGAGAAAGTGAATGCAAGTGTAAGTTTGTGCATGTAAGGGGGTGAGGATAGGATACGGATGAGGAAGGAAAGATCGCGCGCGGTCTCTGGTCTCTTTGTGTTGGTCAAGTTGAATAATTAAAGAATCACGTACGCTTTGAATAATGTTTTGAATAATAAAATTGTTTTTTCCACATTTTTGTTGTGATTATTTTAGATTCATGGAAGAAATGAGCGTTTTCCTTGGTCCTATTGTGTTCGTGCAAAGCTTGGCCACGTCTATCTTGTTATGTTCATCTATACTGCATCTTACTTTGGTGAGAATCCTTTTTTAAATGGGGATTATAATTTAGGCTGAACGAATGTAGGATATGATTTTGTATTTGTGGTTTTGTACTACATGTGAAAATAAGAATGATGAAATGAATGAGATATATTGTATTCTTTTCATGTCTTATTTTCCAATGTTTTGAATGCAATCAATTTATTTACAAATCCCTTACAAATAATTCACTTTTAAAGAGAATTCCACTGAAAGTAATATATGATAAATGGAAGAAAGTGGTTATTGATTTTTATTTTTAAAATCCCCTTTCCATTTTCTTGACAGATTAGTACGAAAAGTGTCAAGTTTTATGCAGTGGCAATGTTTGTCACATTTGAGATGGGTGAACTGTATCTATACTGCCAGATGGGTACAGAATTACAGCATCAGGTAAGATTTTTTTTAGAATGAAAGTTTCGTAAGTTGAAACGTTTATTTTATCACATTTAGAGATAATCATACGTGTTACAATTTGCAAATAAACTACAAGGTCAAAACCTTAAATGTAGCTTCTGTGGCGTAGTCTTTGGAAGCAAGTGGAACTTCGTACTTGTTTGTAGATTATTTATTCGTATATACCCGTATACCTTCACATGTGCGTGTATAGAATATACATGCAAACATGCATTCTTACATGCATACATGCATTCTTACATGCATACATGCATTCTTACACGCCATTCTTACACGCATTCTTACATTGCATTCTTACATGCATTCTTACATGCATTCTTACATGGCATTCTTACATGCATTCTTACATGCATTCTTACTGCATTCTTACATGCATTCTTACATGCCATTCTTACATAGCATTCTTACAGCATTCTTACATGCATTTCTTCAGCATTCTTACATGCCATTCTACATGCATTCTTACATGCCATTCTTACATTGCATTCTTACTGCATCTTACATGCATTCTTACATGCATTCTTACATGCATTCTGACATGCATTCTTACATGCATTGCTTACATGCATTCTTACATGCATCATTACATGCATTCTTTACATGCATTTTCTTACATGCATTCTTACATGCATTCTTACATGCATTCTACATGATTCTTACATTGATTCTTACATGCATGCATACAATATATTCATTAGGCGAACATGCGTACAAGCATCGAGGTTGAAGTGTGAGCATGCACGAGGAGCGTGCGCAGTGAGGAGGCGGGGCGGCGTGGTGTGCGCAGAGCACCAGTTGCAGCGTTGACGCGTACAGCTGCCTGTGTACGACGCGTCGCCGCAGGCCCAGCGCCCGCTCGTCCTGCTCATCCAACGCATGCAGCAGCCACCAACCATCAGCGGCCTGGGCTTCACACGCTCTCCCTCGACCTCTTCCACGCGGTGAGCGCGGCTCCCCCCCCCCCCCGCGTCCTTCTTTCGTTTCCAAACTTTTTTTATTTATAACAAAAAATTTACAATCTATTTTTTTTACAAAATAATAAGTAAATATGATGTTGTAGAGTGAGAGCGTAGGCTTCCGCGGCCGGAGTCAGTAATTAGTAGGCTGTCCGGGTGACACCGCGTCCATGGCGAAGGTGCCGACGTCTCGGTCGCCATTCTGCGACCTTCCTGCATTACACCCTGAGGAAGCTCGCAGAATGGCGACCGAAACGTCGGCACCTTCGCCATGGACGCGGCGTCACCCGGATAGCCTAGTAAATAATGATGTTGTAGAATTGTTATGACAATGATTGATTTCCAGTGAAGGTATCCCATCGGTACTCTTCATCTACTTCTTCATACTATAACACAAAGCAAGTATTATTTTGGGTTGACTGCAAGTGGGATAGTTTATTAGCTGAGGGTAATGTTTCAGTTATAAGAATCTATATGGGAGTGGTAGGGGTGAGGTTCTGGTTAGTCGATGGGTATCTGCACTATTGTCTAGGATGTTGATTCCAATTAACGTGCTTGCTTGATTGCTTGCTTGATTGTTTGACTGATTTTGAACGCCTCAAACCTCACCGTCTTCCGGCAAGCGTGGTAGTGTATGTGCATGCAAGTGTATGTGCATGCAAGTGTATGTGCATGTAAGGGGAGAGGATATGATAAGGATGTGGAAGGAAAGATCGCGCGCGGTATCTGGTCCGTTTCTTAGCATACTGCTCCAACATTCGCCTGGTGTTGATGGGATAAACTAAGGAAAATTACCGATCAGAGCAACCGGTCGCTAGAATTCTCCTCCAGGCAGCGGTTGAATTCGATCTAGACAAGCCAGTGTCGAAAATCCTGAACCCGAACCGTAGGACTTCTCGGTCAGAGACACTGCCGTGGCATCAATTAATGAACTGAGCCACCTACGCCGGAGGACGGAGAGGCTTACGATGGTTTATCGTTTTGTTTCTGGGCACCGGAACTGCTTTGGTCCTATAAGCGTAGGACATGCTAAATCGCGGGAAGTGACGCTATGTCTGGAACGTGGAATCCGGCGTCGACCTATAGATCGGTTTCCGGTATTTTTCGGCTTAGCCGAAGGACTGTGTACTTGTGCTACAATTAGCAACATTTCGCGTTTTACTGCTACGTGTAAGTGGCTGGTGTGGGTTCGTTTGGGACCTTAGTCAATAGCCAAATCGACTTTTGTGTTGCACTACGCCCTCAGAATGTCAGAGGGAAGCGCTTGTCTTCTTTGTACTATAGTGAGGATAGTGTCGAACTAATTGTTTTAGCGTTGCCGGAGCTTTGTTGGTTTGAAAGGCTTGATAGGCTTCGTTAAACGAAAGCCGTCTCAATCATTGAGTAAAGGACTCGATATCAAGTCCCTTCCTCAGTACTTTCAACCGTTTCCGAAAAGGAGGGCGTGCTATGAGCCGTATAACTTTGTTTTGTTCTAGCTCAAGTGTATTCTTGTACTTCTATGCTTTGGTCCATCACGTTGCCGCAGCGTACGTGGTAACAGGCCGGTAACACGTTTTATAGACTGCCAAACGAAGTCCCAAGGGGAATGCAGGTTCCCTCAAAAGAGGTTGTAAGAGTCGAACTATTTGCTTTAATTTTGATCGAATTCGCCAGACATGTAAATGCCAGCGTATACTTCGATCAAATGTGACGCCTAAGTAAGTTGCCTTAGGGGCCCATGTCAGTTTTTGAGTGTCAAGTGTAATTTGTTTTGGTGGTGTAAAACGTTTAGTGTAATTGTGTTTGCGGGGTTCCTTCTCCGGGTATTTAAGACAGAGGAATGCCGCCCTGGATGCGACAAGTCCTATAACTTCCCTAAATGTGTGATAGTGTGGGGCATGAAAGTGCAAGAGCAAGTGTGAGTGTAAGTGGATAGGGGGACTAGTTGAGGCTACGAAAGTTTCGTAGATACGTTGGGACAGCAATTAGCAGGAACTGCGAGGAACATGGATAATTTTTCATCAGTGTTCTGAAAAAGAAACGACACATAATTGACAAAGATTGTTACTTGGAGAAAGAATCAACGAGTATTGAATATATCCTTTGTGGTTACCTTTGGTTCCCAATGGTTCGCAATGATTATCTCTGTTCAGAAGAAATCAAATGTTTTGTTACGAATTTTGACGTTTTGTTACTGTATGTTAGGTTGCAGAAACGTTGCCTGGTACTTCCTGAATCGAACCTTCAATGCGTCAACACGTTTTTACTGAGCTTTCTGCACTTCGCCTCTGATGACAATGCGAGCTCGTGGTGTCTAAAATGGAAATCGTTGGACTCTAAGACATTTGACAATGTCCAAACACGTTTTCGTACTAGGAGCTGCACAGGAGCTGATGCGATCTTTCGGTGACGCTCCGAACTAACAGGAAACAGTTGACAATCTACGCCAATGAACTTTGTACGAAAGAAGCGAGTGTTTGATCAACCGGAAGAAATTTACGCGGCTTTTTTGATATAATAAGGCTATCTCCTAGGGGCGAAGTTTAAAATTTCTGATGTTTTCCTCTAAAATTCTTTCAAAGAGCATCAAAAGTACATTTTTCAAAACGAGGCGCCAAATTTGAATCAATTTGGAGGTCAATGTGCGAACAGCGCTGCTATTATATTTACCTTATATTGATCCTAGAAACCATGGAAATAGATCGGAGCAGCCAGCTGCTTGAAGAGCAGCCCCAAGATAGCTGTTGAATTCGATCTGGCTAGATAGCTAGGATCCAAAATACACCACTGTCGAATTCTAGGACTTTTGGTGAGAGACACTGCAGTAATGGATATTTACGTGAGTCATCTTACTTCTGACAATAGCTCAGGACATTGATTATGGGAAGACTGCCGCGGGAACAATGAATGCGGGAATTCGTGGCTGGTGTAACGACGTGTAAAATGGGGGAGGGAGTAGAAAGGTATGCATTTGTGTCGACCATTAAAAGACACATTGTTTTGAAACATAAACTAGGTTCAAAAAAGAGTATTCCTGAAGTAGGGATAGGCAAAGAGTAAATGACAGAAATTAGTGGTCACACGTACGAAGATACAAGTATATCCACGCTAGGTGACGAATAAGAGAAAATATATATTCAATACATTTTGCCGTGGATACGCGGAAAGTATAGTTTTTCCAGTGTCTTGAAGAAAAGGCTTAGCTTCTACCACCTGAAAGGCGGGGATGTTAGTGCGTTGACGTGTGACGGTTTGTGTAATCGGCGCTTCATAAAATAGTAATTTCTTATTGGTGTTCCAAATTAGTTATGAATTGAATTAAGCAGAATTGTTACAAACAGATCACATTTCAACTAAAGATCCAACAAAGGTGTCTATTTGGGAGAGATGATTTGCCATAAAATTTTATTAAAAGCAGCTCAATGAACTGATAAGAATGTTTATATGTATGTATGTTTATATGTATGTATGTTTATATGTATGTATGTTTATATGTATGTATGTTTATATGAATGTATGTATGTTTACATGAATGTATGTATGTTTACATGAATGTATGTATGTATGTATGTTTGGATGTATGTATTTGACAATTTAAGTTCGGAGCAATCCGACGTTAGTCAGCGGTGATCCCAGGCCTAGGCTCACTTGTTTTCGTTTTACACGGCTGAAAATAAAAGAGACATGTATAGAGTATGACGTATTCCCATCACGTACTTAATTTACTTGCCCTGTCGGAGCTTTTTATTTCGTTTCAAGCTATAGAATGTGAGACGATTTATGTCAGAAAGCTACAGCTTAACTATTGTCCAGGCCGGGAATCACCCCCGGAACTGCCTCGCACTAGCTAACACGCTGTCCATGAATCACTCGGTGGGAAATACTATTTGTCTTAAGTATTGAACTTCACATTTATAATTAGTGAACGTTAAATCAGGCCAATATTACTGTATGTACTGTACTGTGTTCATTATCCTTAGGTTGGGTCGATAGTATGATCTCGTTCATTAATGCTGATAAATCAAAAATTTGCTA